TTCTGCTGTTAGGGTCAGTTTGCATATTACCCTTTTATTATATAGGATAGAGGCCTGGTGCATGGGTGGGGGCCGGCTGGTTTGCCCTGAAGTGTGTCCCAGATCAGGGTGGGGGTCCTGCTAGGGTGCCTGGCCAGCTTGGGTGAGGGGATGAGGGCCTTTTTCAGACTGGCCACACCGCCTTCAGGGTGGGGGTCCCCGCTGGGGTGCCTGGTCAGCCTGGGTGAGGGGCTGAGGACCATTTTCAGGCTGGCCACAGCCCCTTCAGTGTGCAGGTCCCTGCTGGGGTGCCTGGCCAGCCTGGGTGAGGGGCTGAGGGCTATTTGCAGGTTGGCCACAGTCCCTTCAGGGTGGGGGTCCCTGCTGGGTTAACTGGCCAGCCCAGGTGAGGGGCTTATGGCTGTTTGCAGGCTGGCCACAGCCCCTTCAGGGTAGGGGTCCCCGCTGGGGTGCCTGGTCAGCCTGGGTGAGGGGCTGATGGCTGTTTTCAGGCTGGCCACACCCTCATGGGGGAAGGGTCCCCGCTGGGGTGCCTGGTCAGCCTGGGTGAGGGGCTGAGGGCTTTTTGCAGGTTGGCCACAGTCCCTTCAGGGTGGGGGTCCCTGCTGGGTTAACTGGCCAGCCCAGGTGAGGGGCTTATGGCTGTTTGCAGGCTGGCCACAGCCCCCAGCCACCTAAGCTCCCAGTGGAGGCTGGCTGGAAGCAGGCATCTGGGATTTATTTATCTTCTATAATTGAAACTTTGTTGCCTTGAGTGGAGGCCACAGCCAGCCAGGGCAGACGGGAAGCCTGGCTTCCTCCATCCCCAGGGCACCCAAGCCTCCTGCTTGCTCCAGCTCCGTGGCTGCCGGCCGCCATCTTGGTTGGGTTAATTAGTATATAGTCGCTCTGACTGGCTGGGGGGCGTGGCTTGGGGATAGCAAAGGTACGGTCAATTAGCATCTTTGTCTTTTCTTTATATATATATCAGAGATAGCAAGAGCACTGCTCAGTACTTATGCTCTGAGTGTCAGATGCAGCCAGAGTCCAGCCAGAGCTCTGGTGCTCTGAGTCCGTATATTCTTCCAAATTCCATTCGACTATGCCAGAGTAGGTTCCTTCTCGCACCCTACTTACTACACTAACTGTTGGGTCCAAGCCTCTCTGTCTAGGGCTGGATCTTCTTGGACACCAGGTCTTACTAGTAGATGAAGAAGCCATGAGGAGTTATGGGTGTATAAGAATGAGTCTTTATTGCAGAAGCCAGTGGCCATATAACCATCAGACAACACAGTCCTTCACAGCAAAGATCATACAGGCAGGCGTACACCACCTAGTAAATACATATCTTTCCTACATAGCAGCATTAATCTCTGTACCTATAGCTATTATCTGAGCAGTTGCGGGCTGCCTCTAAAAATCACATCATAGCAGTATCTGAGCTCTCTGCCTCAGCAGCTTCTCCAGTCTGGCTCAGCAGCTTCTGTCTCTCCTGCCCAGCACACTGGCTGGTCTCTGTAGCCTTACATCTCTGTGTAGCACACACTCCAGCATACTAGCTGGTCAGAAACTTGTATATTATTCCAGAGACAAAAAAGGCTTCCTGCCAATAGTTACATCAATCATATTTTGGCTACAGAAGGGCATGCATGAGCAGTATACCGTAGAATTACTGCGCTTGTGTCCTTGCACCTGCTTATGGTATCTTAGCCTAGGGACAGAGTGGCCTTGGACATTTGGTGTAATGACAACAAGGCCTTTGTGCTTTAATTGGCTTGTCTATGAGGTGTCTCTGATGTGGTTCCCACAATACCCTACTCCAAGAGCAAGTCAATGCCCTTTGGGCACTTTCAGTACGTCTTCCCAAAGTGACTGCTGCATGCCTGCTGGATAAGTTTCACTCTTCTAATTGAAGTCTATACCTCACTAAGCCTTAGAAATAAGTGTGTGACAATTAATCTCTAAGCCCATCCATATGCCCCAAGGAACAGAGGAAATCAGCATTAAATTCAATAAAATAAAATGACTATAAAAGCCTCAGCTTTCTAAAGAAGTATTGAGCAATATAGTCCTTTGGTCTTTCACAAAAAAAAACTGTGAAAACTAGACTAATCTCTCTTGATCAGGCATGAAACATTACAAAGTTTATATCACTCAAAACTTTAAGATAGTATTCAAAGATTCTTTCTTGGAATATTTGGAATCCTATGAAATTATCCACTAGGGTTTAAAAAGACAAAATGTCTTAAAAACATACAGATTTAACATTTGCCTACGTTTCATTTTAAGTTTTAGATTTAACTAATTTTAAATTCCAGAACAAATGGAGTATGCAGTAAATTATAGCTTTGTTATGGGCATTCACGAATGTTTACACATACAAAGTAAATGCTTTGAAGCCAATAAGAATGTTTTTTCACCAAATATCACAAACAAAAACCCTTCTATTTTTTAAAACAGTTGAATGCAAAATGGATATGTATAAATATCTTAGAAAAACACTTTAAAACCAAGAATATTATTACATTTCTCAAAAATCCTTTTTATCAATGTGTTTTATTTTCAGTCTAAGACATTAGTTTGTTTTGACACTTTTTAACTCATAATACCTACTTACAAAAAATCTAAATTCCTGTGAGGCCTAGTGCTCATTTCTAAAGTTTCAGGCTAGCTGGTATCATTTTGTTTCATTCAAGTGTGGTTTTCTCCCAGCCTCTCACTCTCTCAAACATCAGTGAAAGAATTGTCAGCATAGATTGTGGACAGGTGGAAAATTATAAGATTTTAGAAATCTCTCATTCAAGTTTAACAAAAGGCATGAATTAGATGGATGTCAAGTGTGGATGGGACTATGGAAGCTGAAATGAAAAGTTTTGTTCCTCTAGACAAGGGGCTCTCAACCTTCCTAATGCCGCGACCCTTTAATACAGTTCCTCATGTTGTGGTGACCCCCAACCATAAAATTATTTTCGTTGCTACTTCATAACTGTAATTTCGCTACTGTTAATGAACCGTAATGTAAATACCTGATATGCAGGATGTATTTTCATTGTTACAAATTGAACATAATTAAAGCATAGTGATTAATCACAAAAACAATATGTAATTATATATGTGTTTTCCGATGGTCTTAGGCGACCCCTGTGAAAGGTCATTCGACCCCCAAAGGGGTCGCGACCCACAGGTTGAGAACCACTGCTCTAGACAGAGTGCAAGGCCAGATCATAACTGCAGTCTTTAATTAGAGGTTATCATAAGAATACTCTTTTTATTAACTGACTTTCTTGGGTTCTTGATAACTTAGAATCCAGGGTAAGTGACAAAGAAACCAAGGAAGCTACTTCACACTAGATTATTATTTTCAACTCTAGACTGGGCACTTTAGATCTATTCCAGGTTTGAGTAGTGTGACTAAAAGTATTAGTTTAAAATTGAGCCTTCACCTTTCAGACTGAACAAAAGGACTTGGCATTTATAGAAAGAGAAGAGCAGATCTGAAGAGGAAAAACAGGAGTCCAGTTTGGGTATGTTTGAGATGCCTGATCTCATGAGCCAACTGGTAAATATTCAGGAATCATTAGTCAGTTGACATCATATTGATAGCTTTAAATCAGGGCTTCTCTTCCCCCCAGTTCCCACCCCCATCCTGCCAAGTGCTCGTTATTGAACATTGAGAAGCATATCACAGCCTACTAGACATCCAAGTAGGAGAGAGAGAGAGAGAGAGAGAGAGAGAGAGAGAGAGAGTTAGGGGAAAGATAAAAACTTGGAAGGATTGGAACATAAATATTTAAAACCAATCTCTCTTCACCAGGCAAGTGAAGATTGAGAGAGACAAGAGAGATAGAGATTAGAGATTAGAGTTACAACGAGAGAGAGGGATGAGAATATCAATTATCAATTCAAGGTCTGAGCCCTCAAATTTTTACTAGTCAGGAGGATGAGGAGAAATCAGCAAAGGAGTCTGGAAAGTGCCCACAGAAGTAGGAGAAATGTCCTGAAAGACAAGATAATATTTCAACTACTACTGATAGGGCAAGTGAGATACTTGTCCGAGATGCCAGCCAGGTAAGACTGAGAACTGACCGCTGAATGAAGTCATGTTGAGGTTCTCCATGACCCTGTAAAAGTAATTCAATGGAGTGTTATAGAATGAAAGATAAATTAGGTAACTCTGTTCTTGTTAAAGAGGAGATCAAACTATCAGCAAGATGACACAAATCATCTTTCTCGCCATAGTTTCCAGTTACCCAATTATGATGAAAGATGACACCTTTCATGTCCTATAATTTAAAAACTCCCCAAAAGACATTAATATAGGCACAGATGGGATATATTTTCTGTTATGAATGCCAAACACATAACTTCTTCATCTCTTAATGTATAAAATTCATTTTGTTTTGCAGTAAGTGGTCTTGATGGGATTTTGGAAGATAGCTCTGCAATTGAAAAAAAAAATTTATAAAAGATCCACATTAAAGAGTTCATTGTTTCGCTGTTTCAAAGTCTCCATCTTAATAATCACTGATCTGGGAAGTCATCTCTACTCTTTTCTTTATCACGACATTAGTAATACGGCAAAGCAGGGGTGGCTGGGGACAATAGGATCTATAGGGGGGGGGGGGGGGCGTTGATTGGGAAACCGAGTAACCGTTGGAGGTTCAGGCAATGGGCAGAGAGGAGAGAATCGGAGAGGACACAACGCCTTCATATATCCAGGTAAGCATTTTTAAAAATAAAGCGATGAAAGCTGGGAATGTAACCCCCTGCCAGGGGCTACCAGACCTCTCGGCGAGGGCCTGCCAAGAGGGACCACCACCCGGGTGGCCCAGACACTCCTGCTTCCGGTTAGAGGACCGGGGCCTCTGTGGCCTCGGCTTCCCATCCCCGTTGCCTTCCACCACGCCGGTCACCTGTACTTTCTGTCCGGAGCGTTCACATCATGCTTCCCGAGCAGCAGGTACTCCTTCACCTTGTCCAGATCCCCCAGGGCCGCAGCTTTATGAAGAGTCTTTAAATCCCTATCGCGAAGGCTGTAGCCAGGCTGCACCTGGGGAGCCACCTGGGCCCCGGGGAAGAGCTGCCCTGAGGAGGCGCTGTGGGGCCCATCGCTCCTTCTCCAGAAGGTGAAAAGCTTCTTCATGGGCACGGAGGAGACAGTCCTTCCGTCAGACTAGGGCGCCCCTGCGGCTTCCAACCGCCCGGCATGGCCCTCTGCCTGGCCCGGGTTTCGCACCAACCCCAGAGGAGACAGAGCGGTCAGAGACCGGAAGTGGGCCAGACACCGACCGGAAGTGGGCCAGAGACCTGAAGAGGGCAGGGCAGGTGCCTCACAATGATCAGCTCCTAGAGCAGCTGGGGTTGGGACCCAGTCTTAGGAGCGCCCAGATCTGATTCTCAGTGACTGTCATTCTCACTCAGTCTTCCTATTGGATCAAGAGCCTTAGTGACTTTTTTAAAAATTAAATCTTTATTGTTGAAAAATATTACATATGTCTCTTCTTTTCCTCTATTGACCCCTTCTAGCCCGCTCCCAACCCCCACCCCAGGCCTTCACCTCCTTACTGCCTGTGTCCATGGGTTATGCATATATGCATACACGTTCTTTGGTTGATCTCTTCCCACCCACCCCTGCCTTCTCTCTGAGATTCCTCAGTCTGTTTTATGCTTCTATGTCTCTGGATCTATTTTGTTCATCAGTGTATTTTGTTCGTTAGATTTCACATGTGAGTGAGCTCATGTGATACTTGTCTTTCTCTAATTGTCTTATTTCACTTAGCATAATATGCTCCAGGTCCCTCCATGCTGTCTCAAAGGGTAAGAGATCCTTCTGTTTTACTGCTGCATGGTATTCCATGGTATAAGTGTACCCACAGCTTTTTCCATCCACTCTTTTACTGATGGGCACTTGGGCTGTTTACTGATCTTAGCTATTATAGATTGCACTGCTATGAGCATAATGGTGCATACATTGTTTTTTATTAGTGTTTCAGATCTCTTAGAATATATTCCTATAAGTGGGATCACTAGGTCAAATATGAGCTCCATATTTAATTTTTTGAGGAAACGCCATAAACTGTTTTTCCATAATGGCTGCACCAGTCTGCATTTCCATCAGCAGTACACTAGGGTTCGCTTTTCTCCAAATCCTCACCAGCACTTGTCATTTGTTGATTTGTTGATGTTAGCCATTCTGACAGGTGTGAGGTGATACCTCATTATCATTTTAATTTGCATCACTCTGATGATCAGTGACTTTGAGCATTTTTTCATATGTCTCTTGGCCTTTTGTATGTCCACTTTCTAAAAGTGTCTGTTTAGGTATTTTGCCCATTTTTTGATTGGTTTATTTATCTTCCTTTTGTTAAGTTGTATGAGTTCCTTATATATTTTGGATATTAGAACTATATCAGCTGTATCATTGCCAAATATGTTCTCCCATAGAGTGGACTCCCTTTCATTTTGTTGATGGTTTCTTTTGCAGTGCAGAAACTGTTTATTTTGATACAGTCCCATTTGTTTATTTTCTCCTTAGTTTCCATTGTCCTAGGAGCTGTATTGGTAAGGATAGTGCTATGACATTTATCTGATATTTTGCTGCCTATGGATGCTTCTAAGATTTTTATGGTTTCCCATTTTATGTTTGTCTTTTATCCATTTTGAGTTCATTTTTATGTATGGTGTAAGTTGGTGATCTAGTTTCTTTCTTTTTCTTTTCTTTCTTTTTTCTTTTTTTGCAATTATCAGTCCAATTTTCCCAACACCATTTATTGAAGAGACTGTCTCAACTGCATTGAATGTTTTTGCCTCCTTTGTCAAATATTAATCGAGCATAATTGAGCTTGGGTTGAATTCTATGGTCTCTGTTCTGTTCATTGTCTATATGTCTGTTCTTATGCCAGTACCAGGCTGTTTTGATCACATGAGTTTGTAGTATACCTTGATACTTGATATTGTGATTCCTCCAACTTTGTTCTTCTTTCTCAAGATTGCTGTGGCTATCTGGGGTCTTTTTTGGTTCCATATACATTTTTTTAAGTATTTGTTCTAGATCTGTGAAATGTGCCATTGGTATTGCATTGAATCTGTGGATTGCTTTGGGTAGGATGGACATTGTAATGATGTTGATCCTACCAATACATGAACACGGTATATTCTCCCATTTGTTTATATCTTCCTCTATCTCTCTTTCCAGTGTCCTGTAGTTTTCTGAGTACAGGTCTTTTATCTACTTGGTTAAGTTTATTAATTTTGTGTTGTAATGGCAAATTGGATTTTTTTTTTCAATTCTCTTTCTGAGAGTTTATTATTGGTATATAAAAATGCCATTGATTTCTGGGTGTTAATTTTGTATCCTGCTACACTGCCAAATTCATTTATTAAATATATTAGTTTTTTATGAAGTCTTTAGGGTTTTCTATGTACAATATCATGTCATCTGTGAATAATGAGAGTTTTACTGCCTTCTTTCCAATTTGGATGCCTTTTATTTCTTCTTCTTGTCTGATTGCTATAGCTAGGACTTCCAGTGCCATGTTGAATATGAGTGATGAAAATGGATACCCCTGTCTTGTTTCTGTTCTTAGGGGAAATGGTTTTAGTGTTTGCCCATTGAGTATGATGTTTGCTGTAGGTTTGTCATATATGGCCTTTATTCTGTTGATATATGATCCCTCTATTCCCACTTTTATAAAAAATGGGTGTTGCATTTTGTTGAATGCTTTTCTGCGTCTGTTGATATGATCTTGTTATTTGTGTCTTTCAATTTGTTTATGTGATGTATCATGTTTATTGATTTGTGAATATTGTACCGGCCTTGCATCCCTGGAATAAATACCACTTGGTCATGGTGTATAATCTTTTTAATATATTGCTGGATCCAATTTGCTAGTTTTTGTTGAGGATTTTAGCATCTGGGTTTATCGGGGATATTGTCCTATAACTTCCTTTCTTTGTAGTGTCTTTATATGGTTTTGGAATTAGAATAATACTGGCCTCATAAAAAGAGCTTGGAAGTGTTCCTTCCTCTTGAGAAAAGGGAACACTAGTCCATTGCTGGTGGGAATGCAGACTGGCACAACTACTGTGGAAAACAGTACGGATTTTCCTCAAAATAATTAAAAATGGAACTTCTGTTTGGCCCAGAGGTGATCCCACTTCTGGGAATATATCCTTAAAACCCAGAAACACCAATCAGAAAAAATATTTGAAAACAGCCAGGTACCCATCAGTGGATGAGTGAATAAAAAAGCTGTGAAACATTTACACAGCCGTAAAAAGGAAGGATATCTTACCCTTTGGGACAGCATGGATGGACCTGGAGAATATTATGCTGAGTGAATATTTAAAAAGTTAAACTTAACTATAAAGAAAACACACACAAACAGTGGCCTGCTTTAATGTTCTTGCTTCCTGGGCATGGTAAACTTTAAAGCCTGTGTCCACAAAACAAAGAGGCAGCAAACCAGATGGGAGATGATATTTGAATCTAATGAATAAAATGAATTGACCAACAAAATAAGAAAGACCTGAAACATGGAGGCATGGAGTATACTGACATACCTCGATGTGGGGATTGGAGGGAGGGGGGAAAGCTCTGACAAAGGTTTGATTTCCAAAATATATAAAGAACTCATAAAACTCAACACCAAACAAATAAACAATCGAATCAAAAAGTGGGCAGAGGACCTGAAAATACACCTCTCCCAAGAAGACATACAAACAGCCAATAGATATATGAAAAGATGTTCAACCTCACTGGCAATCAGGGAAAATGCAAATTAAAACTACAATGAGATACCACCTTACACCAATTAGAGTGGCCATCATCAACAAGACAAGCAACAACAAGTGTTGGAGAGGTTGTGGAAAAAAGGGAACACTCATTTACTGCTGATGGGAATGTAGACTGCTACAACCACTATGGAAAGCGATCTGGCGATTCCTCAAAAAATTAAAAATAGAGCTACCATGCAACCCAACAATCCCACTCGTGGGTATATACCCAAAAAACTCGAAATCATTTATATGCAAAGATATATGCACCCCTACGTTCATTGCAGCATTATTCACGGTGGCCAAGAGTTGGAAACAGCCGAAGTGCCCTATGATAGAGGGCTGGATAAAGAAGATGTGCTATATGTGCTATATATACACAATGGAGTACTACATGGCCATAAAGGTGAAATAGCGTCATTTACAACAACATGGATGGACCTTGAGAACATTATGCAAAGTGAAGTAAGTCAAACAGAAAAAGCTAAGAACTATATGATTTAACTCATATGTGGAATATAAAACTGAAACTTATGAACACAAACAGCAGTGTGATGGTTGCCAGAGGGAGGGGCGTGGGGGGAAGAAAGGGGTCCTAATATGAGGTGACAGGAGATTTGACTTTGGATGGTGGGCACATGGTCCTACATACAGATTTTGTAAATTAGTAATCCACACATGAAACCTATATGTTCGTGTAGAGTAATGTCACCCCAATAAAATTTAAAAATAAAATGTAAATAAAATAAAATAATAAATAAATAAAGCCTATGTGCAACAGCTGGGAGGGACTCATTCCCAATGCCCCATCTAAACGTTGGGGCTTCCATCTGATATCCAAGGAACTTTGCCCAATAAAAGTCATGTTTACCATCTGAACATTTTCTGGTGGGTCAGCATCAGTGTGTTTCTGTTAGGCCTGGTAGATCCTTTCTAAAAATACAGAAGGGGCTTTATTTGGTTTCCATTGAACGGCCTGTATCATATTCAGGCTCTTTTGTTTAGGTGACCCTTTCTTAAGCCTTCCAATATGCACCTTTTGTAATGTTTTAGGGAGGCTAAGTTCCCACCCTTTGTGTCCCAGTTGGGCTCTGTCAAGGGAATCACCTCAGCTGGATTGGGGGTCCTATTGGGATATAGCAAAGAACAGTGGGACAGCGAAGCTAAGTCCCCAGGCCCTAGGGAACTTACATACTCTGGGCCAGTTTCCTGGGAGTTTCAGATTAAGAACAACACCTCAGGGCTAGGCCAGAGGCTTGGTGAGATGGCTCCTGGGCAGGGCATATTGCTTCAAACCCTCCCAGGGACTCGCCTCCCCCAGCTCAGGCACTGGCTGCTCATCCCTTTGTCATCTTGGGCATCACTTCT